ATATTTGCATTTATTTTCCAACAGTATAATCGATAAAGCCACCTGGGTCTAAGAGATACTGATTGATATCACTGATATTCTACCTCTAATTATCAGTAGCGGCTTAACCATGAGGTCAAATGATCAATGCTCCCCCAAAAAAATCAGGAGAAAATTAGAAAAATTTATTTAAATTATACTTTTTGTAAATCACTTTTTTTCATCCTGAAATATTCAAAACTATTCCCAATTTTTCGCTTGAAAGCATTTTATTTTAACCATTTTCTCTACTGCCGGTCAAAATTTCATTTTGTCCTTCGTTCCAGCTCTATTTTACACGTATTAAACTTCCAGTGCCGTGGCTCGTAACGCCAACAACAGGTATACTACGTATAGAAAATATAATGGGTTAAGGTGCGATAGATATAGTTTATATTGCCCATTGACCGCGTCTTTCATAAAAGAATTTGTAAGGTAGGCAACTTTATATACGCTTGTATTTGGCAGTTTACTGACAAACGATATAAAAAGTGACGGTTTTTGTGTTTGTCTCTTTGAATAAGAAGACTAAGGAAGGAGCATATCAAAAATCTTAGGTACACCGCGATGGGCCTCAAATATGGCCGACTTAAATTCCGGTTTATCAGTGTCGTTCTAATTTTATTTAAAAAATGTAAAACTATGATGTAGGGTAGACGTGGGGTAGACTCAATAATTTGTTGTTTTATTTTCCGTTGTGAATAAATGTTGGTAGTTATTAAAATTGTTATAAAAATATATAATTCTAATAAAAATAGATAAGTTATAATAAGTATTTATTAACACAAACATCCGATACGCTACTGAAGCAGGTAAGTCAAATTAACGTATCTAAATTCTTTGACATCTAATCTTTGACAAGTAATAAATAAAAGCTAAAATGCTATACTACACGTATGTATATTATATAGTCACTTACTAGCGAAAAGTTGTTCCATTATTTCACTCAATTTTTGCCGAGATCTACCGCACGCTACACAACCAACTATTTTAGAGTCTTTTTCGATAAATCGCGATAGTGTCACTGTTAATTTAAGTTCTGCCACAATTTCCATCTAGATTTACTACCTTTATACAACTATCAGTAGTAGAATAAATAATAAATAACATAAAATAAGCTCCGTAAAGACTGACAAATCCACAAAATTTCAAATCAAATTCAAATGTGTCAAATGAATCGTCAAACAGAACTGTCAAGGATCCCCACCCTAGAGAGCTTTTATGGTGGCTTTTCCGCCCACCATGCATGAATACATGGACAGCATTATGCTCCTTCCTTAGTCTTCTTATTCAAAGGTTTGTCTAGAAACCAGCGTGTTTTATTGTAATTTGTAATATTGTTTATTAGTTGAGAATCAATATAGTTGATTAAGAAATATCGAGGGCATTATTTCTATATAAATATATTACAGAATTTCAGTCATATCGCTGGAAAAATTTTGGCCGTTTGGGCAGCTTGGGTATTTATAAAAACTCAAATTATAAAACAACCTAAGGTTTTGTATCGTTTATCGCATATCGCGTATAATGTTTGGTTTAGTCAATATAAATCAATATTTAAATTTTTATATCGAAAAAAAAAATAGTTTTAGTTGCCGTAGCTTTGTCGTAACCAAGGGTTTGAGATGCAGCGCGAAATTTCTGTAGGTAATAATTCATAATTTTCAGGTTCTGGATAAATGATGAACTCTTGTTCACTGATTCTGGAATAGATATTTTCAAATAGACAACATATTGGTGTTTAGTTTGTAAAATCGTGCGGTTTGGTTTGGTTTGTTTAATTGCTTAAATTTCGAAAAACGTTTAGAGAAAGAATTGACTTAAAATACAAAAAAAAGTGAAATAAAACTTTTAGAAATGTATATGGGTATACATATATTTATATTTTTGTGACATTATTATTTAATTATCTTAAATCCTACCGTGGAAAATTTGTGTAAAGAACATTGACTAGATTTTTAATGAAATTGCACTAGACCACCTGTTTAAAAATGTAAGGGTAGGTTTTATTTTAACATAATTTGTATTTATTTTTAGATTTATTTTTCTTTAACTAAACGTACAAGTACCTTGTAAGAAACCAATTAAATTTGGTCGCATCTTAAAAACAATCGACGCAGTATTTTTAGATATTGACCACACTATAATAATAACCACTAGCCGCCACTGCTAATTATAGAGATGGACAGACTGACAGACGAGCAGACGGACAGACAGACCGACGGAAGTAAGAAGACTTCATTTCAAATATGTGCACACATAGTGCACACACAATTTTTTTCTTCACTATTTCTTTTATTTTAGCAATAACTTAAGAAATATATCGAAAAACTGATGAGTAACGACACAACTCAGTATTAATCTCCTATTTTATATATCACTGTCGTAGTTTGTTAAACCAAAAACCACCATATAACGATGACTGGCTATTTCGCTTCAATTTAATCAACTTACTCTGAAACAATGCACCCCTTGTACGCTAATTTACTCTTTACAGGCCCGTAATAGCAAGAGAAAGAGCACGCTCTAAAAAGGAAGGTAGAACTACGTAAAAATATGCATACTAGCGCATAAAAAATCAATTAATCAAGCGGACAAAGGAAAAAAACTTCGGTATAAATGGACTAATTAAAAAATCGCATGCCTTCAGTCCTGTCATGTATATTAATGCGGTGCGGCGAGCTAAATTGTCGTTTAATTTACTTTGAGGTGAACCTATAATGTTGCTTTTTTATTTAATATTTATGGGGATTTGGGGATATAAGTCGGTAAAAAATAGTTTTTTGTGAAAGCGTTTGGTTTGGTTTGGAATGACATTCTTTTAGGCACTAGCACAAATTAACTACAACAGATGCGAAAGAACACCGAATTACGCGTTCAGGTTTCTGTGACCTTCAGAAAGAGTTCATAGACAATCCGCATCAATGTATAGTTTGGGTTATTATTTGTTTGGGTGAAAATAATCTGCACCAATATGTTATCGAGACATATAATCTCACAGTAATTTAATAGATTGCTCGTCATATTATATCAGTTCGTAGGAGATTAGGAAAAAAAAAGATATTTATAGTATAAAAAATTAATTTATTTAACAAAATTTAATTAAAGATGTTACAAAATAGTTACTTTTCTATTGGTTCTATCGGACTTTTTCGACTATATAAATCTTTATTTTTGTAAACTTCAATGCATAAAATATTTTCAATCTAATAAATAATTTAATGATGTAAATAAGAGGAAATTTCTCACATGGGTGGTCAAATTCTATAGTTTTCATTATATCAAACAGCCTCTGAACGTTTTCTTCAGTGCAAAACTCATCAAAATTTAATATAAATAATTTTCCATTTCAGTAAATAAAATGAAAAAATTTTCCACTTTCATGATCAAAGGCTTTTAAATGGGTAAATAATTTCGAGTTATCCAGAGATTCGGATTCTTTTGCAAATTTTAGACAAATATCACATTGATGTATTTGAAGACCCTTTTAATTGATGTAGTCAAACATAATTAAAGGCATTTTGAGTTGAAAACATTTCTCAGAGGCTGTTTGATATAATGAAAACTATAGAATTTGACCACCCATGTGAGAAATTTCCTCTTATTTACATCATTAAATGATTTATTAGATTGAAAATATTTGATGTATTAAAGTTTACAAATAAAGATTTATATAGTCGAAAAAAGTCCAATAGAACCAATAGAAAGGTACTATTTTGTCACATTTTTAATTAAATTATGTTAAATAAATTAATTTTTTATACTATAAATATCTTTTTTTCCTTATAAATAAACACATTTGTATCCCATTTTAAATAAGATATACAAATTACCAAAACTTAGAAATAACAGTTCAAAAGTTCAACAAAAATCCTACACCCGTTTTTAAAAAGAAACATATAACCACGCACTATGTCATTCCAGCAAGCGAATACGACACAGCATAGGTTTCCGGACTAAACGACTGGTGTATTTACACCACTCAATAGGCGTGTGGGGTTTGCCGAGCGGTTTCCGATGCAGTCGCTTTCTTTCGCATCTGTTAACTGATTTTAATGTTATTACAAATTTTGTTGCAAATATTATTCCTAATCTTAAATTGAAAACCGCGTTTCGCTAGCTACTGTAATTTTGAAGTTACGGTTTTTTTAAATTTTTAACCCCTTCCCATACACCCTTACCAACCCCCCACCCCCACCAACACATGTAGGTGACGCCCCCTATAAGTAGGAGTCATAGTGACATCGAAATGTGTCGAAAAACACTCAAATAAGAATTTTCATCCAAATATCGACATCAGTTCAGAAGCTATTTGGAAAAACCAAAATAAAAATGAAACTTCACACACACACAGACACAAACACTGTATTTACAAAACGAAGCATTTAGGACATGAATTTATAGGAACTTTTTGTACTTAATTTTGTTTGCAGAATATACTGCCTAAGTTTCCAGATTACAATTCAGACCACACTATAAAATTTTACTGTTTCTTTAATAAATTTTCCCCAAAAAATACAAAGAGAACTTAAAAAGCTATTCTTTTTATACATATTATCTACAGAAGCTATCTAAAAATGTACCGAAAAAAAAACGTTTGCAGGATATAAAACACCACAAAATATAACAAATAGGGAAGGAAAAATTGTTCAAAATTTATCACATCGGGCAATTTAATGAAAAACCGCGTGCAGAAATAAAACGGCCCCAAAACAACGCCGGAGATTATTAATGATGGAACTGCCCTCGAGACATTTTAACCGACCAGCCGACCGATATTATTTGACTTTTATTGTGGCATTTTCATTTATTTCCGTTGTGTTTTGTTTCTATTGTATCGCACCCAGTTTTAATCTGCTCGAATGCCAATTTCACATTACTTTAGACTAATCTAAATTTAAAAAAAAAAACTGAAAATATATTCTATATATAATCAAAAACCTTTCTACCCGAAGGTGTAAGGTATACTAAATTAAATAAATTCACTTAATTGCTATACTATACACAAATTGTTTCCATTTATTTTTGTCTCTTGCTAAACTTTTGGCTTCTGTTAACGTTAGTCCTCTATCCTGCACTATCTTCTCTATTGTGTCCTTCCATGTTTTAGTTGGTCTTCCCCTTGGTCTCTTTCCCTGCATTTTAGCTTCCCACACGCCTTTTACTGGTATGTCGTTGTTCATTCTGATCAAATGTCCATACCACCTAAGCTGACATTGCTCAATTTTATTCAGGATCGAGTCTACTTTTGGTTCCTCTCTTATAAAGCTGTTTCTTAGTATATCTTTCCTCGTTACCCCAAGCACAGAATATCTAGCTACGCAACAGAAGCCTCGTTACATGTATAAAATTGTAGGTAGCAAAAGGAGACAGGCTTTTAAAGCCTGTCTCCAAACCAGATATTTTGATGTGGTAGTTTCGCTACTACATAATAGACGGCAATAAATTAAAAAAAAAACACTTTTCTACAAACAAAATTTAAAATAATTTTGTGCAGTGTTGCCATTGTGCAATTCATATCGTAATACTTCCTGATAAAGCCTACCTTCAAATTTGCTTCATCATTTAAACATATTAAAATAGATCAGAGCTGATTTTTTCAGTTTGCCATGTTAGTTGGAATTAAATCTTATGAGCTAAATTACAATCACTTCCTGACGTTTGATTGTATAATTGAATCCTGAATTGTCATGGTAATTCGGCGACAATATAATAAAGTATTGTTCTACTATTATGATACCACTTCCTGACGTTCGATTGTGTTCATACCAAGTTCATATCGTATAATCGGAAAAAAACAGCGTTAACGATGGCTATGAAAATAATATCGCTGTCATTTTATATGTAAATTTATATGGAAAATGTCATCGATCGTCCTTTTCCATCCAACTGGACGCCGTTTTTTTCGGTATCATACGGTATTTGATATATACTATTTTTCATGACATTACAATATTATGGTACCATGAAGCATATCAAGTGATACCATAATATAGTACCATATTACGATACATGGCGTTCGATTGGGCTTAAACTTGGGATACTACGTATTTTCGGTGACATTGTAATATGATGGTACTATGATGCATATAAAGTGGTACCTTAATATAGTACCATATTACGATACCATTTCCTGGCGTTCGATTGGGCTCAAACTTGGTATACTACGTATCTTCGGTTACATTGTAATATGATTGTACTATGATGTATATAAAGTGGTACCTTATACCATATTACGATACCATTTCATGGCGTTCGATTGTTCTTAAATTTGGTATACTATGGATCTTAGGTGACATTGCAATATTATGGTACCTTAAAGCATATCGACTGGTACCATATAATATAGTACACTATTATTCTGCTATTATGATATCATTTCCTGGAGTTCGATTGGTTCGATCCCAAATTTGATATACTTGCGTTTCTTTATAAAGATTTGTTTAATTAATAATTTTAATTTATTTTACGAATTTTAATTTATTGTTCGATGTCGTCATGTCGTGACAGCAACTTTTATGCCGAACTAATATATTATTAATTGTACCTGTGTCACTTTTTAAAATCTACATAGGTCTATATAAATAACGTGGCAAACGGAAGAAATTTGTTATTATAGTATTTTTAGTCAGTTAACATTTTTTGTACTGCATTTTAATAAATTATTAACCATTACTAACGTTCAGCATTAATAAATATCACTATCAATCGGCCTGTATATTATTAATTTTAAAGGTAATTAAAGGTATTTTCTTAGTTAACATTATAAGGTAGTGTATATTAAAAATGTATATGTTTTGTAATAATATACTTAAAACTATTTAAATAGCCAAAGGAATAATTAATATAAGTGTACCTGATAAGAAAAGAAGAATAGAAAAAAAACACATACTGCATTATACACAATAAAAAGAATGGGATGCCAATTCAAGTCTTTTTGAATCTGGCAACTGTGCATATTTAGCCGAGCTACAAGGCCGTCGACGAGCCGTCGATCCAAAACCGAAAGTTCAAAATTTCTAATTATATTCTGATTATGATATTGTCGCGCCATCTATTATTCTATTTGTGCAATTTTAGCTCTTTCATTTCGAGTATTTTTCTGTTGCGTAGCTAGATATTCTGTGCCCCAAGTATTCTTCGTAGATATAACATCTCCATTCTTTGGATCTTACTCTTCAATCTTTTAGTTAATACCCAACTTTCACAGCTAAATGTCAACGTCTGTATGAACACTGTCATCTTCAATGCTCTCGAGATTTCTTTTTTATTTAAGAAACTGTTCTTAATGGCTTGATACAAGCGGGACGTGTTGTCAATTCTTTCGATGATTTCCATCTCTTGTTCTCCTGTGTTGCTGATGTTCACTCCCAAATATTTGTATAAATCGACTTGTTCCAAATTGATGTCATTTATCTCTATATTCATATTGACTTCTGTTGTCTATTTTTAATCTTTTTTTTTTAAACTGAAAATATACCAAATTAAATAGTTATTCTGTAAACACTGCTCGCTATGGTAGTTGAACTCATCTAAAAAATATTTTTTAACTAAAATAATAATTTATAATACAAATTAGACCTTCTGAAGATATCAAAATATTTACTTTTTAATTTTTAGTATGATAATATAATTTTTTCCATTGCAACTGTTAAAATTGCCTTATATCTATCAAAAATAGTAGATAAAATAGTACTTCAACCGCAAGGTAGATTAAATGATACTTTAACAGCGAGGATAGGTTAAAAACTTTATTTCTTCTCCCACGTTTTTTAATTGCTTCCATTTTTGAAAATTTTTGTATTCCTTTTCATAAGTTATTGGGGATTTAAATGGAAGTAGTTTGGATATGGCGTTTGTCGCCTCAGCCTGAATATCTGTTGGTAATTTACTTATCGACACGAAAGAGAATTAAAAAATATTGACTCAAAACTGACAACTAAAGAGACAGTTTTACTTATTTGCCAAATTACATAGAAATCAACGCCAACCCAGCACAATATTTTTTCTACTCGTAATAAATTCCTTGAAATAATAATTTTTCAATATTTTTTAAAACGTAACTCGCTATGGAAAAAAAATTGTTTTATACACGACGATAAAATTGCATTATCGTCTCCGGAAATTAATTCACTCGCGATTTCATTGCTGGTGAATTAATATTTTCGGTCAATTTTTTTCGTCTTGTATAAAAAATAAGTATTTAACACTATTATGGTGCGTTTAGACTTGAGCACGCACAAGCTGAGCGTGCGCGCACAGCAGTGTTGTGGTGGCGAAAATAATGGACGACCAAGAAATAGTCGAGGCTGAAGTCATTGTTATGCACAGCTTAATTATTAAAAAGAAGAAAAATCGAAAACATCGTAGCTGGTAGCAAACCCAAATTTTTAGAAATCGATATAATTTACTGCAACAACTTAGTGTCTGAGGAGGGCTATGATCAGTTCAAAAACTTTACAAGAATAATAATAATAGATAGAACAAAATTAAACATAGATAGTATTTTGGAAATGTTTACACTTTGTGTTAAAACTACTTATTTCCAATTAAATAATGAATTTTTTCAACAAGATTTTGGTATGGCAATGGGATCACCTCTCTCTCCTTTGTTAAGTAATATTTTTATGGAAGATTTTGAAAATAATACAATAAATAGTTTTTCAAAAAAGCCTGTAATATGGCTGCGTTATGTTGATGATATTTTTGCAATATGGCAACATAACGTTTCTGAAATAGACATTTTTTTGGAATATATAAATTCTTGCGAACCTACCATAAAATTTACTTTAGAAGTAGAGAGAGGGAATCGTTTGCCATTTCTTGATGTTTTAGTGTCAAAATTTCAAAATAAACTAATTTTAGATGTTTACAGAAAACCCACAAACACAGATAGATACTTAAATTTCACATCTAATCACAGTATAAGTGTAAAAAAAGGTGTTATAAAAAGTTTATATGATAGGGCAAAAATAATATGTACAGACGACATTATTTCACTAAACAAAGATATAAACCACATAAAAAATACATTAATAAAAAACGACTATCCACCATATTTTATTGACAAAACATTAAACGAAATACAAACCCCAAATCATAGACACAAAGATAACAATACACAATATATACAACTTACAATTCCATACATACGAGGCGTTTCGGAAAAAATACGAAGGATAGGAAAACAATATAACATACAAACATCTTTCAAAACACAAAATACACTTAGATCAATTTTATCACATACTAAACCAATGAATACAGAACAACAAACAAAAAATGTAATATACCAAATACCCTGTGAATGCGATAAATTTTACATTGGTGAAACATCTAGACCCTTAAATGTTAGAATTAAAGAACATAAAGATTATATAAGAAAGGGAGATTTTCACAAATCTAAGATTTGTCAGCATTCATGGGACACAGGGCATAGAATAAATTTTAATAACGCCAAAATTATAATGAAAGAAGCGATAGCCTCTAAAAGAAAAATAAAAGAGGCCTTTTTAATTCAATCTAATAAAAATAAATGTATTGCTCATGCATCTGTAGATGTTAGTAATGTATGGCAATCGCTTCTTTGATTTTAAAGAACATTACATAAATAAACATAACATACGTGAAATTTAAAAATAATCATACAGAAAGTTTGGGCTTTTGGTTTTACCTTATTAAGTAATTATCAGGTAGTAATTGTTAATTTTGAAGTTTAACTTAATATAATGTCATTTTAACAGAACGTCAACGATATCTTGTAGACGTATCTGTTTTAAAAAGTAAAAGTGTTCTCGAATAGTTCAATTTAAATATTTTAAATAGTTTTTTTCTTGATTCTTTATATTTTTTGCTTCCGACGACGGAAAGAAAACTTTCCGAAACGTTAAGCATTTTTTTCTTTGTTAGGCAAATTTTTATTACTGTAAACACAACTTCTGACAAGCAGCGTCCGTTTAGGTTTAACGCAGAAGTGTTTACAAAAAATAACTATTTTATTTTGTAGATTTTTCTTGCAGTGCAGTGGCGAAAAACCCATAAGGATTTTTTTGGATAGATGAATCCGCCACATAGGTATAGACATTTTTTACAAATTTTAGAATAGCAATTTCATTAATATCGACATATTAAATATTAATTTTATTTACAAGGTTTTGCCATGCTTTATTTTTTTTTTAATTTTTTAATTATACAAAGAATGTTTAACATCCCATAATATAGGCAACTTTTCATATTTTTCTATTAATAATAACGAAGATTCATTGATCCACTCCATAATTTTAATAAAGAAAACGAAAAAAAATCACACACGCACGCACGAACGCAGACAAAACAAATTGCCGGTCCAAATTGAGCGTTCGCGCACACATAAAATCCCTTTGAGCACGGACCAAAAACCGACACCAGACGGCTCTCGTTCGAGACTGGTCGCGCACAGACAGATTCAGAGTCAGCGTGCGCGCACAGCCGTTTACACTTGAGCATTCGCGGAGGATCAGTGCGTGCGTGCTCAAGTCTAAACGCACCATTAGAATAATTAAATAATAAATGTTTCCTATACCTACTCGCTATTTAAACCCGTTTATTTGTATATATGTTGGTTAAGTTAGGTTTTAGTCTAGTTTTTTTACGATATTCTCCGTTGGTGGTAGAAATGCATCAAGCTTATAAGATACCCGGTACACAGAAACGAAAAAACACAGTATTAAACTAAATTATAAATTACAATTATTAGTATTTTGTTAGGATTTAAAACTTCATTAATCCTTCTTATTTTCGAAGTTTAGAAAATTATATAAAAGCTGAATACAAATAACAAAAAGAAAGTAAAACTTGAGAAGTTTAACTTTAAGGCGCTCGCATTTGCTACACGTACTTAGGGAAATATTATCGCAAGTTTCCCCGCCAGTTTGTGTTATTAAATCCTCATTTCCTTTGGCAATATGCATACACATTGTACTACACGCAAAGTTAAGTTAAATAAGCTGTATTGTTCCTACTCTTCGTGTCGTGCGGGGATGTGCATTTCTCGGTAGTAAAAGGCAAGATAAAAGCTTACAAGTTTCCGCGTAGATTTGAATCAAGGGAATGCACGTTTTGTATTGTTGGTTCTTGACATGGATAGTACCATTCAATTAGACAGTTGGTGTAGTTCGGATTACCGTGTAGATTGTAGAGTGAATGGGAATGGGGAAGTTAATCACCGCGACCTTATAGATCTATTGTATCCCCTTTATAGTTGAGTTGTAACTCAACTCATTATACATTGTCAGGGCTTTGACAAATAAATAGCCAGTATCTGAGAGGTTAGTTCCCCATCTTCGATTACAGTCGTACCAAGCTTTATGGCACAAATGGTTGTCATCTCGACGCACTCAGCGATAAGGTGTTCTGGTGTTTCACCATTTTCCTCACAGAATCTGCATTCGCCATTTTAGTTTCAATCTACTGAGGTGTTCATTGAGGAGACAGTGTCCCGATAAAAAACCCGTGGCAATCCAAAAATAGTCATACTTAGATCAAGGAAAATATTAAAAAGCCTAAACAACCATCATTCTACAGCAACAATTTTCTGTGATTTTTCTAAGGCGTTCGATTGTGTAAATCATAAGATCCTAATTAATAAACTGCAGCACTATGTGTTCAGGGGATCATCTCTCGAATGGTTTAAGTCGTATCTGAGCAACAGAAGTCAACTTGTGAGGGTGGATACCACGTTGTCTTCTAGCAAGCCAATAGAATGTGGAGTACCACAAGGCTCGGTACTAGGCCCTATTTTGTTTCTTCTTTTTATTAACGACATTGCTAACATAAACAGCAGTGGCAAAATATGCCTTTTTGCGGACGACACTAGCTTCACTTGGAGCAACAAGGACATCACGGCACTTTATAGGATTATATCAAATGACTTAATCACCATTAAATCTTGGTGCGATTCGAACCTCCTGAGTCTCAACATTTCTAAAACTAAAGCTTTGTCGTATAAAAACTCGTTGCAGCTTTTTGTACTTAACAACACCACCATTGACGTCGTAAAATCTGTAAAATTCTTATGGCTTGTTGTGGACAATTCTCTGAAATGGGACATACATATCGAAGCTTTGTCGAAAAAATTGGTTAAAACATTAAGGTCTGTTTCTAAGGAGCTTAACTTGTCAGTGGCTAGAACTGTTTATTATGCACCTTTTGAGTTGCACCTCAGGTATGCCCTTCCATTCTGGGGTACGTGTTGTGCGACTCAATTTGACCGCATTTTCAAGCTCCAGAAGAGAGCTGTACGATATTCACTGGGACTAAACAGCAGAACTCATTGCCGGGACTTTTTTAAAGAAATAAAAATAGTAACTCTTCCTTCCTTATTTATATTTGAATCCGTTTGCCTAATACGTACACATGTATCAGCTTCTCAAGAAAGGCCATCTCACACT